GACTGCCCTAAAGCAACACAGCTCATGTGTGGTGATGATGTGACCAGAGCAGCCTAAGCAGAGAAGGAAGTTCTAACATTTAAAACAGCATTATATAATTCTACATATATGAAATTCTAGAAAATGCAAACTATAAAGGCAGAAAATAGATCAGTGGTTGCCTAGGGATGGCAAGAGGAACAGATTATAAAGAGGCACAAAGAAATCTCGAGGGGTGAAGGGTATTTATTATCTTAGGATGGTGGTTTCACATGTATCAAAATTCTTTGAATGTGTATAATTTATTCCACATCAAATATTCCTCAATAAAGTTGTAAAATAAAGTACAATGATCCTTAAAAAAACCACACAGCATTAGTCCCAGTTTCCTATGCCTAGCAGGAAGGGTATCCAGATGCATAGAACAAGTCAGAGTATGTAGCTAACTTCCATGACAAAAAGCCCAAGGCTCCGGGACGAGCCATTCCAGAACACTTTGAAGTGACTAGCTCTGTTTGATTCATCTGATTTAATATAGTAAAAACAACATGAGATTTTGAAATCAGAGATATCTGGGGTCCAATCCTGGCTCTGTCACCACAGAGTTCTGTGGACTCAGAAAATTTAGTGCATATGAACTTTAATTTATTCATCTGTAAGTAAGGACAATAATATCTGCCTTACAGGAAGGACTGCTATGAATATTACCATTAACATATCCAAAGTGTCTTTGCACATAAAGGACAAAGCCATTAACTAATATAACAAAAGTTACATAGTATGGGACTGTGTTTTTGTAAATAGCTCTATACCCCACAGGGGAAGTATCACCATAGCACATCCTAATATGGTATCTCATGTTCATAATGATACCAAATTAAATGTAAATTACGTTCCATGTAATCTTTTTAATAAGACAGTATTTTAGACATGAAAAATATTTAAAAAGAAATTTTTCAGCACTTCAAAATATAAATTCAGCTATGTGAAAATTCATTTATGAGTAATGTTTCTATCCTATCAGTGCCCAATAAATGAAGCATTTATCTTATTTGGTGCCAGTTCTATTATTATTGAAATAATGACTCACCAATCTGTAATTTGGGAGCCAGGCTGAGCAGGACTTTCTTGAAGGAGCCTTGAAATCAATCTGGAACGTCACTAGGCTTCCAGTCATGTTCTTGCCTTCAGGTCAGATAGCTTTTATGGCAAATACAGGAGAATGGAAAGCTTTGTTCTGTTTCCCAACAGAAGATATAATCACTTCAATAATAGGCATGATTTCTTATGGGTAAGTCATCTTAAGCTTTCTGTGGAATTTCCCTGCTTTAATATCATTTAAAGACTAACCACTGGGGTTGCCTGGGTGGCTCAGTCAGTTAAGCATCTGCCTTCGGCTCAGATCATGATCCCAGGGTCCTGGGATGGAGCCCCACATCGGGCTCTCTGCTCAGCGGGGAGCCTGCTTCTCCCTCTCCCACTCCCCCTGCTTGTGCTTTCTCTCACAAATAATACAATCTTTTAAAAAATAAAGTCTAACCACTGTACAGTCAATAGAATCAGTGTTTATCCACAAGTAATAACATTGGACACATCAAATGTTCAGATGTTAATGATTTCTTAGAAGTAGTTTTAATCTTGATTCATATAGCCCTGTGTTGAGATCATGGCTTGAAATAATAGATACTGCTCCTTGAATGAATTATCTTTCATCTTCAAATCTTGCATATGCTGCATTCCACAAAGCAAGCTAGCTAACTTGTACATCGAATCACAGTATTAGGTGGGAAGTATACCTTGTGTAGGAGACATATCCCCTAGACTTTCATTCAGTATAGCTAACCTTTAAGTGACTGTTGCATGCATGGCACACATGCAAACTTTAGTTTTTTTCTAGGAAACTCATATTTTAATAACCAAAAGATTCATAAACCATATCAATGCTGAGGTTAACATCACACACACTCCTATGAACACTTCTGAGAATGTGAAGTCAGGGCTGCCTTGTAAGATAAAGGATTCAATAGATAATATCTGAGGTTAAGAATTGCTAGGAGTAGCTGACTTATTAAGGTACCACATCATTCTTTGATAGATCAGGAGCAGCACAGCATTCAACTATGACCTAGTTTCCTTGAAATTTGAAACCAATTTGTTTCTTAACCATGTGGTATCTGAGATTTTTAACAATTATTTTGTGATTTATCTCATGATAAAAATTGTATAAGCAATGTGATTAGTTGACCCTTGAACAACATATTTGAACTGCGCAGGTCCACTTATACACAAACTGTCTTCGAGACAGTTGTAGGACTGTAATAAATGTATTTTCTCTTCCTTATGTTTTTATTCATTTTCTCTAGCTTACTTTATAGTGAGAATACAGCATATAATACATATAACATACAAGATATGTGTTAATTGACTGTTGTCAGTAAGACATCCTGTCAACAGTAAGGTACTAGTTTTCAGGAAGTCAAAGTTGTACATTTGTATTTGGTTGTGGGGGGGGGGAAGGGAGGAATCAGCACCCCTAACTGCCACCCCCCACCCCCAAGTTGTTCAACAGTCAACTGTATCTAACTTCTTATGCTAAAGAAAGAGCATGTAGCTCCTAATTTAGCAGCAAGACTATGTACCAAACCTCATGAACACTGTAGACATTTTTCTATCATCTATCCCAAAAACGGTATCACAAAAATGTTAAACTCATTTTAAAAACATTGTCAAAACTTTTCAAGCTTTCACACAGCTGTTAGTTCTTCTGTTCAATTTTGTTGTGTATGTCATAAGGTATTTATAATTTAGCAAAACTCAGGCTTTCTCAGAGTTTTAATTGTTCTTAAAGACAATTTGAATCATATTTGACTTTCCTGGAAACTACTATTGCACTTCTATCATGTCTTACTGTTACAACATGATTCAATTAAACTACTAATCACATATACTCATTCCATTGGGTTCTGCTTTATGGAATTGACATTTTCTTAAACCAAATGTGAAAAAAGTGTTATTAAAATGACAGAATCATTTAGTATGAATAAATTTAAAGTTTTAAAATTTTAAGTGGGCATTTTCCTTGAATTTCTAGTCTGAAATGGTTTTCTCTCAGAAATAGCTTTGAAATTACCTCTAACTAGATAGCAAGTGACCCTCGACAATGAACACAGTATACTTATCAATACACACAAATAAAAGCTATCATCTTTCCTGAAAATAAAACTCGCATCCGAAGTTGGCAGTGGAAATCTTATAGTGAAAGCTGGCTGAACTATGTATCATGGTTTTCAAATCTAGTCCACCTTTGGATTGGCTTAATATACATGTATTATCATTCCTACACGTTCTTACATGACTGACGCTCCTCCCAGGATTATCTGTTCCTTTCACTTGGGATTTGAGTCTTCTAAGACTTCCGATGTTTTGACAGAGTATAGTGGAAGTGCTGCTATGACTTCCACATCCATGCCCTAAAAAAGATTCAGCTTCTGCCTGGCTCTGCCTCAAAGCCCTGAAATAAATCCAACTGCCCTGAAGCCACCGTGCTGTAGATCTCAAGAAGACTGAGCCATTAACAGGAAGATGCTGAGTTTCTCTCTAGCCCAAAGGAGTGAAAGCCTTTTTATTTTTTTTAAAAGATTTTTATTTATTTGAGAGAGAATGAGAGTTAGCACGAGAGGGAAGAGGGTCAGAGGGAGAAGCAGACTCCCTGCTGAGCAGGGAAGCTGATGTAGGACTCGATCCCAGGACTCCAGGATCATGACCTGAGCCAAAGGCAGTCGCTTAACCAACTGAGCCACCCAGGCGCCCGAAAGCCTTTTTTTAAAGCAAGCTCTATAACCAACGTGGGCCTTGAACTCACAACCCTATCAAGCGTTGCATGCTCTACCAACTGAGCTAGTCAGGTGCCCAGTGTTAAAGCCTTAAAAAAGCTCAGAGCTATCTGACTGTAACTGAGACCCAGAGCCAAGATCCAGCAGGGATGCTCCTGAATTCCTGACCTGAGATTATGTCTCAAGCCATTAGATCTGTTGATTTGTTACACAGCAATGCTAATGCACACTGGTGATGCCAGTTACCACAGCCATCACTTATGTGGGCTCATACCTTTTTAAGTGTGGCCTAATTGCACCCACAACCCTTCCTTTCTCTCTGCAATACACATAAGTTTGTAATCTTAAGACCAAGTGATGATAGAAGTTAACATGCAACTAAATATGATTCCTCAATTTAGTTCACCGGCCTTACAACATGAGTTTGTTTCATTTCTCTCCCTTAAGACTCCTCAAAGATTTTTTTCCCTAAGGCCCCATCTATATACTTTATACAGGGACTGCCAACCCAATCCAGATACTTGAAGACCTCAAGGTAAAATGTAATCAGATTTGAAAAATAATTATATTAGATTGGGCTTTCATACTTCCTAACCAAACATAAGAGAAAACTGAACAGTAGCTTACTTTCTAGGTGATTTTATGCCACGTTTTTTGTAATTTAGAAAGTCAGATTTGTTTGAAGATAATTGTTACCTAAAGTGGTTTTAGCTATCAAATGCTTTGGTTCTTTTAAAAACTATCATTCTAGGGGCGCCTGGCTGGCTCAGTCAGTAGAGTATGTGACTCTTGATCTTGGGGTTAAATTCGAGTGCCCCATTGGTTGTAGATTACTTAAAAAAAAATCTTTAAATAAATAAAATAACTAAGAACTATCATTCTAACAATCAGCCTAATTTAATTACTTTTTTCAATTTAATTTTTAAAGTTTAAGTAATCTGTACACCCAACATAGGGCTCCAACAGATAACCCTGAGATCAAGAGTTGCACATTCCTCCAACTGAGCCAGCCAGGCACCCCTAGATCTTCTTTTACAAATGAGGATTAGCAAACTCATTAGGATTTTTAAAAGTATAGTACATGTTGCAAAAATTTGATTATATGCTGAAATTTACTTGTCAAAATATAACCACAAATACTTATCCGTATTTCAATTTAACTACAGCTAAGTCAAGTTTTTGAAAATTCAGGCATATTTCCTTTATTTTTAGGAGCATAGGAACTCTTGTGTGACAAAACTTGAAAAATGACAATTTATGAGTGGGGATCAAGTAATGAACCAACAGTGATTAGTTTGCATTTTTTCCTTGAGGTTTTAACTTACACTTAATTCCTTCCATTTTAGGGTTACATCTTTAAAAACTGTTTTTAAAAATAACCACCAAATCACAGACAAATCATGAACAGTTGGGTTTATTTCAACAGTGGGTTTGAAACCCTTGCCTTAGGCAAGAGACTACAGTAATTATACCAGGAATAGACAATTTCCTACACTGTCAAATATATAAAAGTTCCTCTTGCACTTTCCTCAACACTGATCAACAAGCAGATTCAGTCCACATTTGCTTTGATCATTCTACTGAGTTAACCCAAGCTTCTTCTTCAGAGACTCTGGCATTTCAGGTGGAGGAGGGCGAGGGAGCCTGAAGTAGACCTTCACAGAGTCATAGATGAACCACTGTAGTGCAGTCAGAGTGCCAATCATGATGATACGGGCAAAGAGTCCCTTCCATACACCTGGTTGAAATATGAAACATGAATGAAAAATGAAATAATACCCAAGTGTTGCTTTTTGTTTGGGTGGGTGGCGGGGGGGGCGGGGAGAGAATCCTACCTTTAAATCCAAGTCTCTGAAGAACTTGAGAAGCACTACTACCTTTCTCCTTATTCAACACAGATACCACGGAATCAGCAGGGTGAGAAACAATTGCACAGAAGACTCCAGCTGAAAAAAGTCAAGATAAATAATCCAACACGGGATTAATTAAAAAAAATTCACATCACAACCAACAACCTTTTCCTAATTTTTAGTTCTTAAAAAATCAGATTTAGAGACTAACAATGTTATACAGCACTCTACCCTATGTAAAACAGAACAATCCTTCAAGTTTTTATATTCACATTTTAATCAACTTTCCTTTGTGTAAAAATGTATTCTTGAAAAACAGACCAAAAAAATAAATGGCACAGCAGTTGAAATCAATATATTCCCCAAACTTAATCAAGACATGAAAATAATTCTTTCAGAAACTCATCACTAAGTATTTATGAATCCTAAAAAGGCCCAGAAAATGCTATGGGAAGATAAAGCTTCTTTGGAATATTTTTTTTCCTCATAAAAAGAGGCCAATAATGGAAATAATTACTTGTCCTTAATTTCACAAACATGTTGTAAGTAATTCATACCTATGTAACCTGCCACAAATGTTACAACCAGTTGCTCTGCCTTTGAACATTCACTTCGGGGCTTAGGAACCACAAACTTGTACAATGCTTCAACAGTACGTTCAAAGCAGGCAAATTTCATCATGGTGTAGGGTATCTGTCTCATCCAGAGAGGGGCAACTCCCTTGTAGAATCTAGGGAAATCAGGAGACTTATTTTACTCAGTTGTATTTATTCCTCTAGCAGAGCTTTTCATCAGTAACAGAAGTGTCCGCACACCAGCCGAGTCCTGATAGCAAAATATGGCAGCACAATTGCATGTCATTTCTATCAGAACCTAAGACTAACATGCAGGTGTGTTTATCTCACATGCCAATGACTCAAGCACCTTTGACTGTACAACCAAAAAAGTTGCTGGATGTTTCTCTGACTGGAACTACAAGAAACAAGAAGTTTACAAGTAGAACTCAGTTCAAGATTGGCATCCACAAAGGTGGATCTAAGGAAGCATGTTGTAGCCAGACTATATGCAAATTCTTAGCTGTGAACAAGAATGACAAGAATTCTAACAAGCCTTTCCCAAAAGTTAACAATTAATGTCAAATATCAAGGTATATGCAGATTGATAAACGTTCTTACTTTAGAAAAAAATCTTTAATTCAGGGCTTAAGCCATGAGTCAACTTATCCCTGCCCCTGGAGTTTATGTTCTATATAAAAGGTAAATAGACATTAACATAATAGCTAAAAAAAAAAGTCTGGTAGGTTTAATGCTAACAAATGCAGTTCATTTAATTGAATATTTTTATACTGTAACTCTAGACAAATGTTCACTTACGCTTTTAAGCCTTCTTCCTTATACATTTTGGGAGCTGCATCCCTCAAAGTGTTGGCATAACCTGGTTGGGTTTGAATTCGAACCTTAGCAGCTTCCATAGGAGCCAGGGCAATGTCAGCAAAGAATTCAGCACTGGCAGAAGCAGCCAAATACAGTGATGTGCGCCAGAGATAGGCATTCTCCTAATTGAAAAACATAAGAAGGGAACATGTACCGCTACTGCATTGGCTGTTTTCAATTTCAATTAAGGAACAGTTTTAGGAAGCAGTTACATTTCAGACAACCTAACAATGTTTCTTTATATGGTCCACAAATAACACACATGAGACTGAATGTATATCCTCTCCCTTATCAACCACAGTACAGTGTGAATTATTTTTTTGAACATCTAGGTGCCAAGTATAGTTGGCCCTTGAACTACACAGAGGAATCCCAGATCCCTTCTCTTTAAAAAACTCAAAATCCAACTTACTTGGAAAGCAGCACAGTATAGTAATACAGACAAAAAAAAGATCCTTTTTGGTCTTAAAAGTTAAAATTACATACCTCCCCAAGCATGTTGCTATACAAGACTTTGAAAACTTCATAAAAGCCAAACTTGCAGAGCCCCTGCATAGAGTAGCCAATGAAAGTCGGAGCCCATCCTTTAGCCAAACCACGAACACCATCCTCTTTAAGTGTAACTGAGAATCCATTAAATATGCCCTTGTACTTCTGGGGGTCCACCTTTATTTAAAACAAGAAGAAAAAAATTAATTAAATGTACCAAAGAGCTACCATTTCTCATAAATATTTAATTTCACTGTTATTAGTTTTTCCTTTGGTTCTAAAACTTCAGTCTAACTATACAAAAGGTGGGTAAACACAAATTCACTGCATATCAACTTAATATCTATAATCATCTTCGTAAATTTAACTTTATACATTAAGGTCTAGCTTTCTTTCAGTCACTTAAGGCTTGGAGGGTTAGTTAAGAGAGCAGAATTCCTAGAAAAATACATGATAAAATTGATTCAAAATTTTTCACCATCCAACTCTACCACTTTTATTTTTATTGTTTATTTTTTAAAGATTTATTTGACAGACACACAGTGAGAGAGGGAACACAAGCAGGGGGAGTGGGAGGAGAAGCGGGCTTCCCGCTGAGCAGGGAGCCCGATGTGGGGCTCAATCCAGGACCCTGGGACCATGACCTGAGCTGAAGGCAGACGCTTAACGACTGAGCCACCCAGGCGCCCTTCTACTACTTTATAAAGATTAGTTTTAAAGCTACTGCCTAAGTAGGAGGTAAGTCTGTATCCGTGATATATGCAGCTACTGCCTAAGTAAGAGGTAAGTCTGTATCCCTGATATACGCTAGTCCATTAAGAAGAAGTTTATATTATAAGGTTTTATGAACTTAAGGCAAATTAAATACAAGTTAAAAAGGTAAATCAACATAATGAGAATCTTTTAACTTAAACTCACTTCAGGAGACATGCATACGTTTTAGTGAAGATATATTCACATCCATTCTATTAACTAATGGGAAAAGAAAAAAAATCTTAATTTCACTCTATCTGCCAATACTACAAGGGCTGGTATACGTCACCTTCCTCTAGCTGCTAACATTTCACCTTCCTCTCTCTTTTAGGTAAGTAGACTTCTAAACCTGTTTGGGACAAATAAATTTTTGATGTTTGATTATTTTTGTTTCAATAATCCTAATTAAGATATTCTAATCATAAAAAACTGTTATGTAAATAAATATACAAGAAGCTATGCCAACAAAGTTTTAATACTAAAATAATGAAAAGTATTTTTTCTAATCTACATAATGTTCTGCCCTGATCTTATCAGTAAATAAGAGAAATGAAGTTACTTCAAAAATACACTAAGGAAGGGCCACCTGGGTGGCTCAGTTAAGCGTCTGCCTTCGGCTCAGGTCATCATCTCCAGGTCCTGGGATCGAGGCCCAGGTCAGGCTCTGTACTCAATAAGGAGTCTCCTTGTCCCTCCCCCTGCTCTCACTCTCTCTCTTAAATAAATAAAATCTTAAAGAAAAAAAAATACACTAAGGAGGATTACCTACTCTAATACGTAACTGCTTGTAAAATGAGTATTTGGGAACATAAAGAACCAGTAGGCCTTGAAGAGGAACGCTAGTCAGAACTGAGCACAGCACCAAAGTAGCATTTATAGCCAGGGTTTGAGATCCAAAAATCTGCCTACAAGCTTATTTTTAAAAGAGGCATTTCTTCAATTTAAAACACTAATTAAAATAAAGATCATGAGTTAAGAAAACTTGGGTTTGGTTCCCTACAAAAGTTTCTAGCAGTTGTGATGTCTTCAAATTTTCTCGTTTGTGAAGTCCTTTTAAAATTATTTGGAATTATGTCACACATGAAAGATACATTCAGTGTTGCCATCTCAATACAAACCTGCATGCGGCATTTCACTAAATCCAGAGGAACGACAGCAGTGTGTGTCAGACCACAACTTAAGACCCCACCAAAGCCACACAGTGCATAAAACTTCATGGAGCCATATTCGCAACTGTACTCTGTAGTAAGACAAGACACACCATGCATTTTAATATAAAACTCATGTTACTGGTTATCAACTTACCTCTCGGATAATTAGGTTTCCACACAACTTGTTAGTAGATGTCTATGTTGTACAACTTAGAAGCCATGCTTCAACAATATGCTTTTAATCCAACATGCAAAACAAACCTGCATTCTGCATTTAACCAGATCTAGAGGAACCAATGCTGTATGTGTTGTGCCACAGCTAATAATTCCTCCAAGTCCACAGAGGATAAAGAATCTGCCAGATCCATAGTCACAGCTATACTGCTCTGTTTGATTGAAAAAAAAAATCAGGTAAGTATTTCTTCAGAGATGACTAAGGCCATGGGAATGAAAGAGAACTGATTCCCTATGAAATAGTGCTATCACAACTAAACAGCTTTGGCCACTGTGTACAATTAAGCTAAAAGATGATTTTCCACCCAGTGTTAAGTAACAAGACATTTACTGCCAAAATCAAAGAATCATTTAGATTATGAAGGTTCTGTAAGACACTAGTTCTTATTTTGCCATACTAAAAATAAAAGGTCTTTGATAACATTAATAGCTACTCGAATAAAAAATCAAACTTCAATTATTTACTGCTGATAAAAACACACTTGAGAATACAAACGAAACTCAGGAAGGGCACTAAAGTAAAAACTTTCAAACTTCTAAGTGTGTCACTAATCAATACTATCCCCACTTATGGATTCATGTTAAGCATAAAATTAGGTAAGGTCCTAAAGTCAAATACATTTACTACACAACAGTGTAATGATTTTTTTTACCCACCGAAGACATAAAAGAAACACATAAATGATTCAAAAACTTTAGATTTTACAGGCACACAATGTAGATTACATTTGTTTCTCTGCCTATACACTCCACTGAGATTTAAAACGTAACAATTAAGTTCAAGTTGAGTCTAACCGAAAAGATTCCTGAGAGAGAAGACTAAAGGGATCCCTACCAATTATTTATCTCCTTTTTATAGCTTATCTGGGGATTCTGTCCCCTCCTTTACCAATTACATTAAAACAAGAAACCCAATTATCTCATACACCTCGTGTCAATAAATATTTAGACTTCGGGAATGCTTGAGAGGAAGGAGTATTTTTAAGAAAATTAAAGCCAGATCAAGTAACAGATAATACAGATAGAACTGCAGGTGGCCAGTGGCTACGAAGGAGACTTTACCCAACACTTAGTCTACTGACCAACCGGGCTCACGGCGAAGATAAGGAGCTAGTCACGGCCTCTATACTCTCCCGAGGACGTGGAGGTCACAGAGGGAACTGTGCCTGGGCCCTTCCACGCCCTTGAGGGAGGGCCAAGGATCCCACACTCGGCCTAGGGCGAAAAGGGCTGACATCCTAGGGCAAGCAACTAGGCGCCGTCCTGTGGTGCAGAAGGCCAGAAGCGTCCTTCTTCTCTGTCCTCCAGGCCACTAAGGCCGAGCGGACCACAAGGGCACAAAACGACCGTATCGGGGCAGGGTCTAAGCTCACCTTCCACAGAGGCTGCTGCCAGACTGCGGGAACGGCGGGGCGGGCCCGGGGGCCCCGCGGGGCTGCTGCGGGGGCCCGTGAGGCCATCGTGTACCAGCTGCAGGTGGGGCGCGTTGAATGGGTTCGCCCGCGCCAGATGCGCCACGGACGAGAACATCTTTCTAAGAGAAGAGAGAGCAGCGGTCAGAGGAAAGGCAAGGGGCCCCTCAGGCCGCCAAAGTCACCGGCACCCTAGGACCCCGACACTGGCCTTCCTTCTTCCAGCCTCCGCGCCCTTGAAGAGGTCATGGCGGCCTCCCCCAAGGAGATCGACAAGTCCTACAGTCTAAGCAACTTCTCAGAGGGGCTCCGTTCCCCGCACCCACCGGTAGCAAGGCCCGGCACACTCACTTCCTAAGATGGCGAACACACAACCACTCACTCGAAAAGGCTGCGGCTCACAGAGGCCGAACGTCCTCCCGACCCTTAGATCTGTGCCCTTCGCGCGTCGTCGGCGTGACGCACATTACGTGTCACTGCAGCAGGCGGCACCCATTGGCGGAGAAGAGCGCCCAGGCCGTAGCGTCATCGCGTTCTCCTAGCAACCCTATCCCCGCCCCCGCCCGCCCAAGCCATTCCGGCCCCGGCCTCTGCGCGGGAGGATTCGTTCTGCGCACGCGTGCATTCCGAGGCCGGGTTTTTGAGTGGTGTGGGATTGTGCTCGTGACCTCCTCTTTTTGTCCCTTCACCTTCAAGCGTCTTTCTTCGACGTGGGGGCTTCAGTTTTTTTACGTTTAATTGAGTCCCAGTTAATAGTAGTCACTGAAACAAAAAGAGAAAAAAAAAACCAAATGTGTGATGATACTCTATTTCGGTGTTGCAGTTAGAATGTTACTGCAGTATTTTGTGTTACAACGCCTGCCATTAAGGTACTTTTTTTTTTTTAATTAAGTTCCATCCATTGCCATTACACATAGACATGTCTGCATTTTCCGTTAGACTACAGGAGAGTATTTTAAAAGAAAATGTGCAGCAAGAACTCTTTAGACAAGATAGCTTGGGGGTTCATCACAGTAGTTTATACGACATATTAAAACATTCAGTAAATGCATTTTAAGACTACCTGGGGGTACATGGTTGAACTAGAGTGAAAGTGAGTGGCAGCAGATTTTGTGCGTGTTCAGTAAATTTAGAAAAATCTTCATTAGATTCAGTTCAAGACAAAAGGTCCTCTTTTAATTGGGGAGAGTTTAGTAGGGGTCAAACCCCTATTACAATTCTGGCTCTGACAGTCCTGGCTCTTGACAAAGTAACCTTGGGAATTCATTTGATCTCTATGAACCTGTTTCTTAAATGTTAAGATGGAAGCAAGGGGTGGCCCCATGGACTTGTACAGTTATATAGGGCCTGTGCTAGATTCAATGCTCTGTTGTCACCATTTTGGAATTCTTAATAATTTACGAACAAGAGGCCTTGTATTTTTCATTTTGCACTGAAATTACAAATTGCATAGCTGGTCCTGGATGGGCATAACATCTATCTTGCAAAGTGTATGAGAACTCAATGAGACAATGTCTAAATGTGGGAATTTTAGTCAAGCAGAGTTGGGGAGAGGGCCAGTGGTCAGTAAGTTACTAAGAGGTTAGGGTAATTCTTGCTAACTTGACCTAAAAGAATTCTTGCTGAAGACAGTCCAAGGTAATCAGATATTACTTGGGGAATGAGGAATTTGATAAGGTATTGAGGGTAATCAGATATCAAGGCTGGGTAGGGTGCCTGGCTGGCTCAGTTGAAGGAGCATGTGACACTTGATTTCAGGGTTGTGAGTTCAATCCCCATGTTGGATGTAGAGATTACTAAAAGAATAACTAAATAAAACAGATATCAAGGGGCACATGGTGTCTCAGTCGGTTAAGTGTCTGCCTTAGGCTCAGGTCATGATCCCAGGGTTCTGGGATGAGCCCTGCATTGGGCTCCCCACTCAGTGGGGAGTCTGCTTCTCCTTCTCCCTCTGCCCCTCCCCCCTGCTTGTGCACGCACTCTCTCTCTCTCTCTCTCTCTCCCTCAAATTAAAAAAAAATAGATATCAAGGTGAGGAGGTTTTTTGTTAAGCTAAGTTGATAGAATTCGTGTTTTTTTCCACTTTATTATTATTTTTTTCATCATGATAAGTGTACAAGGCAACTCACTATCCCAGGAGAGGCCAATACAGATTTTACAGGTAAGGAGAGACTAAGTTCCTCGGGCAAGGGAGGAAAGGCAAAAGATGCTCAGCAGAATTTAGAAGTTCATGATTCCAGTCTCATTAATCTGCCCATAGGTTCCCATTCCCATGCCAATATTCAGGATCTCACTGCTGCTCAAAAACAAAAACAAAAATTAATTTTAACATGAGATCTTCAAGTTGGAAATTCAACTGCATAGTAAGTCAGGATTAGATTTTGGATTTGGTTTTTAGAAAGTACAGCCTTGCAGATACAGGAAGACAGTCACATAAGATTTCTTTTTCACATAAGATTTCTGATCCTTTATCTTGAACTGAATGCTAAAAGCCCTAAGCTCATCATTTCCTTTCCCCCAGTTATCCAACATAATTAGGATAAACCAACCAACTCCATTATACTCCTTATTTTTGTTTAAATATTTTATGGAAGTATCCATGTGGTTACCCAAAGCCTTGCCTTCTTTAGGCACTTGATTACAGGTGTCCATAGGTGATGTTTTGAGAAACTGTTTTTTGCTAATGCATGCCATGGACAACCAGTGCCACCTTTGTCATTGACAACTGGTTGTCAGTGCCTTTAAATCCAATCAGATCAGATAACCCGGAACAAATTCATAGATCCCATTAAGTTTTAGTTCTGGAATTACTTCCAGTACCATTGTCTGGATCAGAGTTTGACCAGAGAAGCATAGGCACTGTGAGTCATATAAATAAGAGGCTTATTTTGGGGACTAGGTCTTAACTGTGGGAGCTGGAGAAGAGGTTGCCTGTGTCTGGGGTTGGACCTGAAATTTCTGTAAATCAACAGAGCTTAGAGTCAGTCAGGAAAGCTGGACCTGAAACGAGGATGAGCAGGGACAAAGCAGAATCCACAAAGACCTGCTGGATCCCCTGAGGATAAACTAGACTGTGCAAACTGTGCATCTATCTCTGACACCTACAATCTCAATAATGCAGTTACCCGCAGGAGCCATGCTGCAAGGGCTCTTAGGCGCCAAGGCGCTGCACATGCATCTGGTCCAGGACTCAGAGAAACTGAAGAAGGTCCTAGAGTTGCTGAAAGAGCTCCACATGTGGCCACTGCCTCACTCCCAGGTAAGCCAACAGATCAGCATCCATGTGCATGAGCTGCCCCAGTGCTTCACATCTCACACTGACCTTCAGAGCATAAGGGTTTCACTTCTGCCTTTGAAATCTTGCACAGATTTCCCTTGTGGCCAGTCTTAACACAGAAGCATATCTGAGAGATAAAGAGAATCTGAGATGCTAGATAGAGATAGGACATTCAAGTGGAACTTTCCTACAGGCCCTTGTAAACCTAGAGCCAGAGGTCAAGGTAGCACTGATAGATTTGAGGATCATGCCTGTCATGGGAGAATCACAGAACACCCTTAAATAATTCCTACTACTCCCATCTAATAGAGAGATATAACAAATTATGCAAGTAAACTAAAACTCCTTTTCATATCTTCCTTGAGAAAAAAAGGGTAGCACCCTCGAGCACCTTAGTTACTGTCTTTTTTGATTAGAAATCATGTTTGTTTGTTTTCATGTCTCTGTAAAGAGATTAGGGAGAAATTTGTCTTTTTCTATCTGAAATAAAATAAAATGGACTTCACCATGGGGCTGTAATTGCTATTCTGAAAAAAGTTTTAAAAGGTCAAACCATCCCCATCCTTCTTGGAAGGGTATCCTAGGTGGAGCCTAGAGTACCTTGACTGTAAGACTAGGGGCAATCCCTTTACTGCGGTGGACCCCAAGAGCACAAAGTGTACCCTAAGTGCACCCCAAGAGCTCTGGGACCCAGGTTCAAACTCTTGAAGTCACGCATCTTTGTGCAGGGGGATGAAAACTGTCTAAGTTAGATCTGCATATTCAGGGATATTGTATTTTATAGGAAATAAAGGCAGGTGAGTACTTTTACCCGGTCTTTATCTCTTGATATTTTGAAATTTCCTTCTTTCTGCAATTAAAAGTATAAAATATGGTTTGGCTCAGAGGAGAGGTATACCTAGATATGGCAGACCCTAAAATAGTTCACATAGAAGGTACACACATAGATGGCAACTTTAGTCACTCCTTGGCTATAATCCACCACTTGGACACTTTTAAGTGAGGCCCAGTCATCACAAATTAGAAGTTCCCAAATATGGTTTCTCATCAAAGCACCTGGGGAGCTTTTTAGACACAGATATTCTCAGGCCTCAAAAGATTCTGCTTACTAAGTTTGATGAGGAGTCCTGGAATCTGCCATTTTTTAAAGATCCCTGGGTGATTCCTATAAACAGGTTTAGGAATCAATGATCTAAGGAATTCAAAGCATGAGCCCATAGAATGAGTCTGACACAAGTTTTCCTATCTGTAAAATGAGACAATATCCTGAATTGCCTGGTTTGCCATGGATGTGAAGTGCTCACTTACTAGAACGGAATCCCGGCTGATCTGGTTTGCTTCCAGCTGACTTTCACATTGTTATCGCACCTGCAAGAGCAAGGTGCAAGCCTGTGGTGTGTGCCATCCGTACGCCATATAAAATGGAGCAACTGCTTAAGTATAAAGGGGGACCGGAGGGGCGCCTGGGTGGCTCAGATGGTTAAGCGTCTGCCTTCGGCTCAGGTCGTGATCCTGGGGTCCTGGGATTGAGACCTGGGGTCCTGGGATCGAGACCTGGGGTCCTGGGATCGAGACCCGGGGTCCTGTGATCGAGCCCTGCATCAGGCTCCCTGCTTGGCGGGGAGCCTCCTTCTCTCTCTCCCTCTACCCCTCTCCCTGCTTGTGCTCTGTAAAATAAATAAATAAAATCTTTTAAAAAAGGGGGTGGGGACGGGCATATCAGCTGCTCAAAGATGGACATAGCCACAGATTTGGTAACAATACAGGAAGTTTTAGGGAGAAATACATACACCCAAAAAACAGCAAATATGAGAAGTAATGAATATAAAATGAAGGGATTAGGCTTTGCTAAAAGGAGTAGAAATAGTTCCCTTCAGCCTTAGAGACGTAGGACAGAGTGTACCTAAGTTTCTGTTTATGCCCTGGGTCATTATGAACTGAAATGTATTGTAATTTTTGTAATTCAAACCTCATGTCACTTATGATATTTTTGCTGTAGGTAACTAAGGAGCCTATTCACAAATGAATACAGTGCAATTGCAGTCAATCCTAAATGAAATTAAAATTTGCATACGTAATGAAATTTCAGGGAAAATTCTTGAATTCTGCTATTATATCTCTAAACTTGGAAGGTAGTCATTTGGGAAGAAATAGCTTTAGGGAATCAGATGCATTCTTTAGAGAGCAGTAACTTCAAAT